GGGGGAAAAACGAGTAATGACACGTTGATAAATGAAAAAAAGTATGTATATGAAAACGGGCACTGAAGAAAAATTCGTTTCTAGACAGACACTTTGTACGAAATGGTATCGACGACTCGTCCAATTTTTACACACGATGACAATCTTATAATTCCGTTCATTGAATCATTTAGAATTAACTATCTTAAATTTGTTTTGAAAAATGTTTAACCTGCAAAGAGCGTTTCAACTGATTTGGTTAAACGAAATAACATTTGGCCATCGACTCAGTGAGATTGTGATGGATCTTCGATGTAAGAACTTCCTCGCATTGATGGTTAAGGACGACCTGCAGCATGTTTATGTATATTCTCTAGAGGAGGGATTCTCCATCAGTTTTCATCCGAAAGTAATGTCTGACATTTTGTTGTTTCATCTACTGCTCACATGAAGTCATTTGCCATCTCTCAGGTTGATAAGAGAAAGAATGTCTTGTTTTTCCTATCACTACAGGTACAAAAATCATGCTTAGTTTGAAAATCACCACAGCATGCTTAAATCCATGCTTAGATGTCACTTATTCAAAAACAAATCTGAGGCTGAGTAAATTGTTTGTACGCCTTTTTTCCCTTAGTGACCATCTATATGGTTTTATGCGAGCTGGTAGGGAACCAACGTCGGGCTCTGTGAGAAATCTTCCCCTTACATATTCGGCCTCACAACTTGTGCGTATGGGGAAAAGAATTATCCTCCATCCGGTGCATTTCAGACAGCGTTGGGCTCGGGTATACTGTTTCAAGAGCAGAATGAATTAAAGTAGAAGCGCGCTTGGTTTTTTCTTGATTTGGGATGCAAATGGGAGGCCGGTTTTGAAAGAGATAATCTCAGTCTTCTGTTTTCGAGTCGTGGGCAACACCAGATTGGCGAGTAAGTACCAGTAGAGCTGATTTAATTACTGTCTAAGGTGTCCGCGTCAACTCTGCCTATTTTGTTTGTGCAAGAACAACCGCTGTCCCAGTGGAAGTAACTGCTGGTCTTTATACGGATTTTTGCATCACCCTTCAAAGAGAAAAAATTTTCAGGTAAGTCGAGATCCAGATTTTCTGTTGGAGTAGTGCTGAGATAACTCATGAGTGCTTTTAGAAAATATGTGTTGGTAGCGCCTTAAACAGAAACACTAAATTTAGTTTTGTATTAGTTTTAAAGTTTCATTCTTCTTCTGGTTTTAAACCTGCATTCTGCTTCCCAGAGCTGAAAAAGGGATGGTTGAATATAGTTTCTAAAAAATGTGCAAAACTTTACGGTTTATTTTTCCCTTACAAACGCACTGTCCAGTGCCTTAAAGACAGCTGTATAAAGTGACACTTTTGTAATAATATTACATATGTTACTGACCACACTTTCATCAACTTTGGTTAGAAGCTAATTTTGAACTTTGCCTAGTCCGCTGACCTTAAATGGTCAAATTTCGATCGAGGTACAATGGCAAATGCGGTGTTTTTTTCTCCATGCACAACTTTATCACACGGAACTTCCAAGTTTCTCCAAGTTGACCTGCTCAATTTCATCTGACATTGAGATCAGTATTCTATCTATCTATCTATCTATCTATCACACGGAACTTCCAAGTTTCTCCAAGTTGACCTGCTCAATTTCATCTGACATTGAGATCAGTATAAAATTTGTTGTTTTTTTAATCCGAAAGCTAAGCGAAATAGTTTGGTAGGAGAAACATAGATCTACAACTTTTCCAGTACTACGAGGTTCTCTCTGCCCTCTCTTTTATCTATTCCATGTAAACGACAGAAGATTTTTTGTTCATTGACCCCCGCGGTGAAGCATGTTTGACCTTTGACCTAATATTGTTCTGAGATCATTTATTAAGGTGTAGTTCGAAGAGAATATTACTGTAAGCTACTCACAGGGTAAGCCAGAACTCTAGGTCATATTGTCTACCGAGTGCTAGGTAAAGAGCATTGCGATCACACCACAGACTGCGGTTAAAAGCATCCTGTGCAAAGATCTTCTACCAGCGTGTGTGGTGTAGCGGTTAGGCGCTTCGCTATGACACGCAGGAGACACAAGTTCTGTTCCCGTGTTTGTTTAGATTTTTATCGTGTATCTCCGTCTTTCTGCTGGGATGGTGTACACTCTTCAGCCCGGTTTGGACTTGGCAGGCAGGGTCAGAATCCACCTACATTTTATTTTGATTAATAGACTTTCTTTTGTGTTTTGTTAGCCTAGGACATCAGTCTACTGGTGGATGCCAGCAACGAAATAGAAGACATTACAGAAGGTGGGGAGGGGAGAAATGCTATCCAAACATCAGAAAAATAAAATTGTGACATGTTTCTTCAATTGGGGCTTGCAGCCTTGTACTTCTGGGAGATTGGTGGACTATGTTTATTCACCAGCCCTCTAAAGCAATATGTTGAGCACTAGAATGTTGCTGGATTTTTATACTCCTCCTGAATGCGTTCTTTTAGCGTCAGCTTTCTATATATGAGTCAAAGCTCAAAATGTTTCTTTTATTTTATTCTTATTTGTATTACAGAACGCTGTTGCTCTATAGAGAATGCCCGGCAATACTAATAATGCACATGATGGTGGTTCAGGTATGACATATCTATCTATCTATCTATCTTTCTATCTATCTATCTGTCTGTCTGTCTATCTATCTATCTATCTGTCTGTCTGTCTATCTATCTATCTAT